CTTGAGCCCAGGAGTTGGAGGTTGCTGTGAGCTGTAAGGCCATAGCACTCTACCCAAGGGGACAGCTTGAGGCTCTGTCTCAAAAAAAAAAAAGAAATCATTATATCTGGCTAGTTTTTCTTATTTTTAATAGAAATGACATCTTGCTGTGTTCCCTAGGCTGGACTGGAACTCCTGGCCTCAGGCAATCCTCCTGCTTCAGCCTCCCAAAGTGCTAGGATTATGTGCCTGAACTTCTCAGGCTTGCTATTTATTTATTTATTTGTTTTGTTTTTTTTTTTGAGACAGAGTCTCACTTTGTCACCGTTGGTAGAGTGCTGTGACATCACAGCTCACAGCAACTTCAAACTCTTGGGCTCAAGTGATTCTCTTGCCTCAGCCTCCCAAGTAGCTGGGACTATAGGCGCCCGCCACAACGCCTGGCTGTTTTTAGAGGCAGGGTCTGGCTCTGGCTCAGGCTGGTCTCAAACCTGTGAACTCAGGCAATCCACCTGCCTCAGCTTCCCAGACTGTTAGGATTACAGGCATGAGCCACCCTCTCTCCCTGGCCAGATTGGAAGTCTTTTGAAGATCTCTAGAGAGGTTGGCGGGCACTCCCAACCACAGTGGTTGGGAAGAGCCCAGCTATCATCCTCACCCTCACCCTGTTTCCTCTGCAGCATGCCTCAGGATTTGTCAGAGGCCATGAAGGAGGCCACCAAGGAGGTGCACACCCAGGCGGAGAACACTGAGTTCATGAGGAACTTTCAGAAGGGCCAGGTGAACCGAGAAGGCTTTAAGGTATGTGCCCAGGTTGGACTAGCTGTGGTGGAGGGTGTGGCAGATGTGGGTGTCACTCAGGCTAGTAGCTTACCTGGGGATTGGTGCCAGGGATGCTCAGGGACCAGATAGATGAGCATATCCAAGGGAGTTATCTTACAAATGATGCTGAGGCTCAGAGAGGGATGGTGACTTACCCAAGGTCACACAGCAAGTTAATGGCCTGCTAGGTAGTGTTGTAGAGGGGCTGGGGCAGCAGTGCCATCAACTGAGCACCTATTCTATGCTGGGCATTTTATACATTTGATTTCTCATTTGTGCCTCAACTTCGATGAGGAAGACAAGGAATGGGAGGCTCAGAGAGGTCAAGTGACTAACAGACAGTCACACAGACAGTAAGAGGAAAAGGCTAAAATCAAACCAAGACCAGTCTCATTTCAGAGCTTGTGCTCTTTCCTAATTCTAATTTGCCTCTGAAGGCAAGGGGTAGTGTGGATTCCAGTACTAGTAGGCCCCTTTGCTAATGGCGAGACTGGGGCCATCTCTTCTAACCTTCCCAAACTACCTTTTCCCCATCTATAAAATGGGATTTCCACAGCAGTGTTTTCTCAAGCACCTACACTATGCTAGGCATTGATTTTGCTGTTTCCTGGCACTGTTGTGAAATATATGTAAATAAAAAGAAAGTGCTTAACAAAGAACCAAAAGGGTGTTGAGTGTTAAACATCAGCCAGAGGAGAGCAGAGAGGCTTGTTCAGGCTACACAGAGTGTGTTTACCCCTTCTTTGCAGTGTGGACTTTCTGCC